ATAGATAGATAGATAGATAGATAGATAGATAGATAGATAGATAGATACACACTAGGGGAGTGGTGGCGCAGAGGTTAGAGAAGGTGGGCCTGTGACCGACAACATCAAAAATACGAGGGTGGTGTAGGTGAAGCACCCACACCTGCCCCCACCCTCATTCGCCCCACTCTGGGCCCTTGAACAAGGCCCTTAACCCCCACCATCTGCTCCTCCAGGTGTCCTAGATGCAGCTCTCTGCTCCACACAGGGCTGTGGTAGCTCGGTGTCTGTGGTTGCGTCAGGAAGAACATCCGGTGTAAAAAATAACTGTCAAGTCTTCGTGCGACTTAGTTCACTGTGGCGACCCCTGACACAGGGAGCAGCCGAAAGAAGAAATAAATAACTAAAATTGATCCAAATCAAGATAAGATAGAACTTGACTGATCCCAGAGGAAATTGTTGTGCCAGAGTTTCAGTACAAAGGAACAAACATAAGGAATCACACAAGATCTACATATAAAAAAACACTGTGCTGCTCCAGCACACCACAGTGTAGAAGAAGATGCTGGAGGCCATGGAGTGGTAGAACATCTGCAGCATGGTCCTGCAGATGTTAAAGGACCCGAGTCTCCTCAGAAGAAAAAGGTGACTCTGCCTTTTCTTGTAGACGGTGCTGGTGTCAGCTGTCCAGTTCAGCTTATTGTCTAGGTGGCCCCCCCCCCCCCCCCACCCACCCACCAGGTGCATGTGGCCGCCATTCAGTTTAATGAAGTTTCTGTGAACAGCTAAAAATTGACTAAAAACATGCTGAAACGTAGCTGAAATGGAAGAACAAGCCCAAGTTAGCAGAATAAAGCAGAAAGAACACATAGTTACTGAATTAGGTTTAAATTAGTAGAAATTAGCACAAAAATTAGGCAATCAGCTAAAAAAGCCCTGAAATAAGTAACAACAACAACATTTCATCTAAAACACAGCCGAAACAGCAGAGAGAAGCTTAACCTGCGGGAAGGAAGTGGAAAGAGCTGAAAAGAGCTAAAGAAGTGGAATAAGCCAAAAAAGCTAAAATTAGCATAACAACAACTAAATAGAAGTTGAAATAGCAGAAAAAGCTGAAACTAGCTGAAAAAAAGCTGAAAGGAGCACAACAAGCTGAAATGAGTAAAAATAAGATAAAAGTAGCAGAAATGACCAAGAAAAACTTGAATTTATCTGAAAACAGCTGAAATTAGCTAAACTTTTTTCTAAAAATGTAGCTGAAAATGTGCAACAAGCTTAAATTAGCAGAAGAAAGCAGAAAGAACATGTTTGCCAAATTAGGCTGAAAGAAGCAGAAATGAGCATAAAAAAGTAAAAATTATCTGAAAAAGACTGGAAGTAGCCAAGAACAGCTGAAAGGTAGCCGAAAAATCAGAAAGGCGCTGAAATTACAAGAAGGAAGGGGAGAGAGCACATTTTTGCTGAATTAGGCTGAAAAAGTTGAAATGACTGCAAACAATGTGGAATTAGCTGAAAAAGCTTAAATTAGCGTAAAACAGCTAAATAATGGCTGCAGTTGTAGCTGCAAGAGCTGAATGTTTTGATTTATGATTTGTTGAAACAGCTGAAAACGTTGGGACGAGAACCGTACCGGAAAATGTACGGAAGAAAACTGGATCAGAGTGATGCGTCATTATTCACACGAGCTAAAATCTGCTGAGCTGAAAGTCTAGCATCGTCCACAACGCATACTTTGGGTGCAGTTTACTGTGGGAAAACTTGTCTTAAATATTTTTATTGTGTTTGAGTTGGCCATTTTCATCTGTTAGCAAAATATGTCATGATCCACTGGACGGAGTTAGCCGAGACCGATCCCTACACATACTGCAGAATCACGAGATATTTTTTGAGATATTTGTCAAGTGTTTGACCAAAACGGCTCCAACTTTATCTTTTCTTTAGCTGAGTCGCTCTTTGTTTAAGACTCTGACACGACGTGCATTTTGTTCAGGGAATGTTTGATGTTTATTGTCACCACATCTTTGGTCAACGCTCCAGGGAGCCTCTGCAGGGAGCCTAAAAGCCTCAGGTTGCCCCTCGGCTTTAGGCTGCAGAGCCCGGACAATGAAGAGTTTGAGCTTCATGTTTTAATGTCACAATGTCTAAATGTGTCTATGTTGAAATTCCTCTAACACTTTTACTGTGCCACGGTTTTAGCTGTTTCACTGTTTATGTTGCACAAACAAGTTAAATTTATCATGAGAACTGAAGACTTGTTAATGTTTGGGCAGTCTGCAGCTTCCTCTCTGCAGTCTGACGGAAGCAAAATGTGTTTTAAAATGTTTTCAGCTTAAAGTCATTTCAAAGTTACATCTGTGCATCAACAGGCTTTATGTTCATATCCAACTTCTTCATTCTGTAAAACAGACATATCTGAGTGACAAAAATAGAAACAAATTGAAACATCCCATCCATCATCTTCCTCTTGTTCTGGACTCAGGTCTTGATCATGAAATTCTGTCCATAAAAGTTATGAACAGAATCAGTGACAATGGGCAGCCCTGGTGGAGTCCAACTCCCAGCCTGAAGGGGTCCGACTTACTACCAGCAATGCAAACCAAACTCTTGTACCACTTGTATAGGGACCAAACAGCCCATAGCAACGAGCCTCCAATCCCATACTCACGGAGCACCCCCCACAGTTTACCCTGAGGAACAAGGTTGAATGCCTTCTCCAAGTCCACAAACACATGTAGACTGGATGGGCAAACTCCCATGACCTCTCAAGGACCCTAGTGAGGGTAAAGAGCTAATCCAGAGTTCCACAGCCAGGAAGAAACCCACATCGTTCCTCCTGGATCTGAGGTTCGACCAACGATCGGACCCAGTTCTCCAGTACCCCTGAACAGACCTTACCAGGGAGGCTAAGGAGAGTGATGCCCCTGTAATTGTAGCACACCATCCGGTCCACCTTTTTGAAGCGGGGAACCATCATCCCAGTCTGCCAGTCCAGTGGCACTGCCCCCGATGTCCACACGATGTTGCAAAGACATGTCAACTTAGACAACCCCACAACATCCAGAGCCTTAAGGAAATCAGGGTGAATCTCATCCACCCTCGGAGCCCTGCCCCCTCAGAGCTTTCTAACTACCTCATGACCTCAGCCACAGTTCTGGACAGACCAACCCTGAAGTCCCCCAACTCTGATTCCTCCATGGAAGACGTGCCGGTGGGATTGAGAAGGTTCGAGAAGTATTCCTTCCACCTCCTGATGACATCACTGGTTGAGGTCAGCAGCACTCCACCTTCACTGAACAGTGTTAGTAAAGAGCTGCTTCTCCTCCTCAGCTGCCTGATGGTTCACCAGAATCTCCTCAGAGCCGACCGAGAGTCTTCATCCAGGGTCTCATCGAACTCCTCCCACATCCGAACTTTTGCCTCAACAACAGCCAAGGCTGTGGACCGCTCCGGTACTCCTCAGCTGCCTCCAGAGTCCCACCAGCCATCAAGGACTGATAGGACTCTCTTGAGCTTGACAGCCCCCCTAACCGAGGTGTCCACCACCGAGTTCGAGGATGGACACCATGAGAAGCACCGACAACCTTGTGGCCACAGCTCAAGGCAGCTACCTCAACAAGCGAGGAGCAGAACATGGTCCACCCGGACTCAACGTCCCCTGATTCAGCGGGGATGCAGTTAAAGCTCTCACAGTGTTGTGAGTTGAAGATCTTTCTGACGGGTTCTTCTGCCAGGTGTTCCCAACAAACCCTCACTACATGTTTGGGTCTACCAGGTCTGTCCGGCATCTTCTCCAACTCACTACAGGTGGTGATCAGCTGACAGCTCCGCTCCTCTCTTCACCCGAGTGTCCAAAACAAACGGCCTCAAATCAGATGACACGACTAGAAAGTCACTCATCGATCTACGACCTCGGGCGTCCTGGTGCCAAGTGCACGTATGGACACCCTTAACTTAAATGTTATTAAAATGAACACATTTTCAGTTTTAACTGACTCTGAACTCGAATATATTTCATAAAATTTGTACTGTAGATGGTTTACAAACACTTTTTAGAAATACTATATAAATATATAAAACTATTTAACTTCATGCAGCGCCACAATTCTTTACATTATTTATTCATGTAACATTTATCTGATCTGTTTATTTCTGCCGTCTTTAGATGGTTACGCAACTGAGCTGATAAGATGAAAAGCAAGGAGCGGTGTGGAAACAGCTGCACGCTTCACAGCGACTTACAGAAACAGCAGATGGTGTTCCTCATCATCAAAACGCTCGGCGGTGTTCCTGCAGAGAGACGGCGGTTCTGAACGCTCCGTTCACACACCGAGCCCAAGTGACAAGTGTGACTTCTGTTCAGGTCTGAAACAGCATTTTGTGACTGAACAACTTCCCTTTTCAGACGAAACTTTCAGCGAGGGCCACTGATCTCATGAACGGTCTGCTTTTTGTAGTTTGATTTAATAAAATGAGACAAAATATCAACTAGAAATCCAGAAAACACATCAAATGTCCTAGTTGACTTGCATGTCATGGAGTGACATAAATATTTGCAAACACAACTTGTGGAGGTGTTTGTTGGCAGCACAGCAGTGAGATGTTCTTGTCGTCTCAGGACCAACAGGGCTTGAGATGGTGTGGAGGTAGGGCAGCTGACCTGGGAGCAGAACGCCGCGGCTCGACTCCCAGCCATTCGCACATGTCATGGTGTCTCTGAGAAAGACACCCAATCCCCAATTTGCTCCCCAGGCAGACCAATTGCTGCCCACCGCCCCACCTGGGTGTATCTCAGGTGCGATGGGTTAAATGCAGAGAGCCACTTTCATCATATGGGAACATTCGATGACAACACAAGGCACCAAGTTTAACCTTCAGGAGGGGTTCTGGCCCACTCCTCTTCACAGAAACTAAATCAGGGGCGTCCAAACGCTTTCATATGTGAGCCACAAAAACCTGAAGATTAAAAGAAGAGAAAGATTAAACATGTTCTGATACGTTTCCTTCCATTTTTAAACTCTCAGCATGATTATTAAGAAAGGACAAAAGTTGACCAGTTTTGTTGGAGCTCTAAATTGTTGTAGATCCAAACCATAACTTTACATATATTTATATATTTATAAGATTTAATTTATTCCATTTGTTGGTATCTTTATGATGGTTGTATTACCCAGAGGAACTGAGAGGAACAGACTCAGGACTAAAAGGTAAAAGTTTTATTTACAGTGACGAGAATTTACAGGTGACCCTGGGAGGATCTGCAGGAGGGACAAGGATAAGTATGGTCTTCTGAAACATCTTTGCTGAGGATCTGAACAGATCTTTCCATACAGGCTTCGTGGTTCTGAGAGGAGGATTCCAGGTTTGGTAGCTGAGGGGGAGAAGTTGAGGCAACGGTGATGGTCATCTGGATGGAAGGCGGGCGGAGGGTGAGCGGCAGAGGAGCAGCAGGACTGTCTGAGGGGTGGAGGAAACTGGAGCTCCAGGGTCGGGTTCATCTTTGGAGAAACGAAGGAGAAACGGGGTTTGTTCAGAGGAACAGATGAAGCATAAAGGAAACAGGTAAGTATCAATTATCACTGAAGAAAACATGACAACAAAGCTGACTGGTATCTGATGTCCCAGCAGGGAAATACATGTTTCCACAGCCTCCCTGGAGCTCATCAGAGGAAATGGACCAGAGCTGCTGCTCATTGGTGCCGCCCGGCACATGGGAGACCGCAGAAGGAAAACTCTAGGATCCTACAGTTGTGGCTATTGCTTTTTGTTTTCTTGTGCTTGGAACGTTGTTTTTAGTTTATTCTCAGGAACAAATATGTGTCACTGCTTTTTAAAAAAGGAGACTGATCTGCCGTTTGGACCGTGAACGAAGAAGATGATCGAAGTTTGGAAAAAGCGTACAGCTGGCAGTCGCTAAAACAGATTCATAACAACAAAGTCCATGTTCATTAATCCAGGTAGAAATCCAACAATGTTCAGTCAGGCCATCTGGATGCTTCTTTTTTTTTCTGAGATGTTTCGTCCTTCATCCAAAGGACTTCTTCAATCTGAGGAGCCACAAACAAGCTGATTCCCACAAACAGCATAATTCATAGTGGGAAACAGTTTGTTGGTGAGAAGATGGCCTCTGGGGCCCGCCCTCTCCCCCTGTCAACTCCTCTGAAGCAGCCTTGCCAAAGTGGTTCAAAACACCAAAGTTCATGCTCAACAATCCAGGTGGAAATCCATCGTCCCAGCAAAACAAAAGAACCCGTCCAGATGAGCTGACTGGACATCGTTAGATTCGTATTAATGAAGAGGGTCAACTACACGCAGATTATACCACTTGTCATATTGTACAAAGTTTTATGAATGATTATTTAAGTCGTGTCTGTGGTGGGAGTCAGTATAATGTTGTGTTGCTTCGGACCAGGAAATGAAAAACAAACCATTAGGATTAATTATAGCCAAGGATTTTGTATTGTGCTTAATATTGCACGTTTAAAGATTTAATTTTTCATTTGTTTTACTGATAAAGCTAAAAGTTCTCTAATAAAAAGCATCACTAACACATTGTCAGAAGGTTGCCTGCGGCCAACATCAGCTGTGCGCGCCACACATCCCTCAGGCTTCAAGTGGCCCTCAGGCTGCTGTTTGGACCCCCTGCGCTCAACCGTTACCTTCAAATCATCTCCTTCTACAGATTGAAGCTGAGGTGTGGACACTTGCTGGGCCTCTCCAGAGTCTGCTTCAGTCACAGAGATGGGCTGTTTCTGCTCAGAAGTATTCTTATGAAAAAGGCAGCACCTACAGTGTCAATGTGCAGCGTCACTCGCAGGAAGCTGCTAACCACAGCTTCCTGTCCCTGAGGCCGCCCAGCAGCAGCTCCACAGCTCCTCAGCAACACCCACAAACAGCTGACAGCTCTAGATTATAACCCACGATTAAGATCCTCTTTTTGAATAATCAATATGTGTCAAAATGCAGCCTTTAAGTTTGGACCACGCCCCGCTGCTCGCTGATTGGCCACTCCGCCGTTGTCTCTCGTCCTGATTGGTCGAGAGAAAAACCTGCCAAGCCGGAAGTAGCGCCTGCGACAGATGTTGAACAGACCTCCCGAGTGGAGCGAAACACGTGAAGCTCCAGCACACACAAGGTCCTGACCGGAAGTGAAGCACAGCACGTTCAAAGAACGGCGGGAAACGTTAAAATATGACGTCACGTGCGATATTTTGTTTGTTTGGGCATTTCTGAAATGTTTTTGAGCTTTTTGTTTATAGACACAATGGCAAATGCACACGGGTTGGAGACGTGTCCATCACAGGGACACCTGGACAGGTCTCCGGTCCATCACAGGGACACCTGGACAGGTCTCTGGTCCATCACAGGGACACCTGGACAGGTCTCAGTCCATCACAGGGACACCTGGACATGTCTCCAGTCCATCACAGGGACACCTGGACAGGTCTCCGGTCCATCACAGGGACACCTGGGCAGGTCTTCGGCCCATCACAGGGACACCTGGACAGGTCTCCGGTCCATCACAGGGACACCTGGACAGGTCTCCAGTCCATCACAGGGACACGTAGAGACAAATGAGACAAACACGATTCACTCTCACACACCTAGGGACAATTTAAAGTTACCTGTTAACTTTAGTTTTGGTCTGTGGGAGAAACCCGGAGAAAACCCACGCAGCACGGTAAGAACATGCAAACGCCAACAGAAAGGCCCCTTGCTGGGATTTGATCCAGCGACCTTGCTGAGAGTCACCAGCTCTACCAACTGCACCACCGTGCCTCAGTATAACTCAGTTCAGTTCATTTTTAAAGGCCCAAGTGTCTCAGGGCACAAAAACATTCACATACATTACAGACGGTGGTGAACCGGTTTCCCAGGGCACAACGTAAAATGTTGAAGACACTCATTTATGAGTGGTGGCGCAGCGGTTAGAGAAGGTGGGCCTACGATTGTAAAGTCACCGGCTCAACTCCCCGGACCAACAACATCAAAATGTGGGTGGAAAAGGTGAAAAACCCTCATCTGCCCCACCCTGGGCCCCGGAGCAGAACCCCATCTTCAGACCCAAAACAGGTCTCTGTTGAAAATGAGTTCTTCTCATGACTCAGTGAGACCACCTGTATAAATCAATACATCAATACCTGTATAAATCAATACATCAA